GCTGTTCTTAACAGGAAAAATTCCCCCTTGACCTCCTGGCCCAAACAGGACGATCGCATAAAGCACAGAGTGAGCATACAAGTCTAGCCTAAGTATTAGGCAGACATTAGGTAACAGTGAATTAACAAAAGAACACACGTAAGAGAAAACAAACTGATGAAACCTTCCAACAGAGAACAAAAATCATAAGCATGATCGGGCATTAATTACCCTTAGCAATATTGCAACCAGTAACTGTACGTGAATATGCAATCAAAAATACAAACTCATGTTAAATAAAGGATTGACGTGGATACGAATGAACGACTAGATGACGTCGATGTGACTAAACCTATAAAAAAGTTAAACACAACAGTAGGTGTAATGAATATACTTGATGTAACAACACAACTGCTCAACCGAAATAGAGAGCGGAGTCAGAGTCCCAGTTGCAGAACTGAAAAAAAGAAATGGAGTGAAGAAAACACAAGAGTCAAGTTCAGTTTTATTGATGACTGCTGCAGGGGTCTTGTCGCTGGAAGAGGACTTTGAGGCCGATTCCTTAGTCGAGTACATGTAACCACAACAACAACATCTCTGATGAGATGCAAAGATTACTCCACCGTTGTCCCATCAGCCGTCCCATTCTTCAGGCACAGTGGGTGTCGTGCTGAGTCCATTGCGGCCATTTCCATTTGCACATATTGAGACGACGCAGCAAGGTTCATTTGGGCAGCCAGAGTTCGCTCCCACAGTCTCCTCACAACAGGTAGGATGCAACATGCCAATAGAGAAATCAGAATTAGTACTACTATTGCACTAATTCCTGCTTTTACCAAAATAGCTCCCCACTGACCCAATTGGAGGGCTAAGGAGTCTAAGGACCAGCTTTCCCTGCCTGCATTCTCCCTCAGCTCTATCTTTAAATCTTTCAATTTCCTCATTCCTTCAGTAAATGCACCATCAGGGGCCGTATTACTTGGAATGTAGGTGCAACATTCTTGCCCACTGGAGTTCAGAAACTTACAGAGCCCTCCTTTCTCGGCCAGCAACCAGTCCAAAGCCTGGTCGTGCTGCAAAGTCATTTTGACGGTGGCATGAAGTTGTTCACCCAAGAGGCCAAGGTTATTTACTGTGTAATTTAAGATTCTTTGCTGATTAAAATAAACATAGTTGATCCATTTCACATTCTTATTTATTGTTATCCAAGGAAGAATTGACTCTAAACCAGCTATTACCTCATCTCTGGCTTGAAATTCTATGGGAATTCCTGTTGGCAGTCCTATGGCGTTTAAATGCAATTTATGATCAAACACATCATACCTCTTTGTCCTACGTCTATTGGTAGTCTCCAACTGAAGTAATTCACTCAAACCTTCATGCAAGATAGTCACTGGAACTTTCATACGTACTAGCGTACACAACCCAACCCAAAAACTTGGCAAAACATTCATTAGAACATCACCACCACACATCCAGTAGCTGTCGGCCACTGGAATGTCTTGCTCACCTATGAGATCCAGAGTGGGAATCGTCATCGATATGTCATCACAATCCTGACTAAGAGTTACAGGGTTTTCATACCAAACAGGGGTGTCAATGAGAAGTGGTGTCACATTTGCATGCGGGAACCAGGATAATACCCAAGTGACGTTACAATTGACAGATGTATTACCTACGTCCACTCCTCCATCGTCAGCGAAACCTCCACTTGCAAAACATTCATAATCAGCACTATAATCAATTTTGTAGTCCGTTGGAGGACCATTTTGGTCTGTTTGGATCGCAAATTCAGCACATTCCTCTAAGATGTTATATTCTGCATATTTTTCAACATATTTGTACTTATCTCGTGTACCATGGAGCAATCTGCATTGGAATCCACACAATGGCATCTTAAGAAGAGGTGGAATCTTTTTATTTATCTCTATTTCCTTTCTAGTCTTACATGTGCGTCGTTGTGTAATGGCACATTCACTAGAAGTATACTTTTCCGGAACAACCTCAGGTAACATTCCGGGTGCTTGAGCGCACACTATGCAGTCATTAGGAGTCATTTCTCTTGTCGTATACAAAGCCCATTTATACCAACTATTTTGCATGGTGGCATCCCAAAGCCTATCCTCTATAGCCAATTGTCTGCTCGCTCTAGGGGAGATAGGCCCTGTGTTACTGCCGGACCTAGGTCTAATTGGCCCAAATAGTGGCTTAGGTACAGCTTTGTGATTGGTCACTTCTTGTTCATTTTGTCCTTTCTGAGTGAGATTACGAACATGGTTGCTACCAGAGGTTGCCGTGGGAAAGCCAGATTTCACAGCTACACCTCCTGTGGGAGTTGTAGTACTGACAGGTGGCTTAGCGGTTACGCTTCTCAGCTTGCTAATTGGCGTTGTTTTAGATCTTGAAATCAGTGGAGTCACTAGCTGTAAAAGAGAGGAAGAGCTCCAGTCGGCCCTCACCTCTCCAACAGGGGCTGTGGTAGTCAAAACATCAGGGATTGCAGTAGTAGTAGCGCTAGTAGTTAAAACATTACTTGGAACTGTGGTCACACTGTCAGGGATTTTATTTGTCTTAGTTGTGGTCAAAACATTGTTTGGAACCGTGGTTGTAACACCAGTTTTAACAATTGCTACGTCGAATGCAGGCAGGGATGCCGACCTATGTTGCATCCGGCCTGCTGAATTGTACTTAACTTGATCACGGTGTGCTGCCTCGTCGTTGACCAAGTCGTCTGGCGTATGCTCTTGTGATGGGTCGACGAGTTGCTCCTCGGCCATCGTCTCCATCTTCACCTCCTCCAGCACCATCATCAGACCCCCTAGTGTTATCCAAAACAGAACTGTCATCAGGCTTAGCACGCCCTTCTTTCCTCCGGCCATCATGCTGGTTTGTTACGTCAGACACAATACTGCCCTGAGTTTTGTCTTTGACTTTCGTGCAGTGTGTCAGATGATGCCACGTCGACCCTCCTTCGACCTGGACTGCTGTTGGCGTTGCTCGAACCACTTTGTAGGGACCCTCTCGTCGCGGTTCGTGCCACTTCCTCCTGAAAACTTTGATGTACACCTGGTCTCCGGGAACTACTGGCCGGTCTGCGCCTGCGCTAGAGACGAGCTCCTTTCTCTTTTCCTGCAAATAGATGGCTTTATGGATGCTGGTTAGTTGCTTGATATAGCTTTTGAATTCAAGCTCTAGCTGTTCCAGCGAAGGCCCCTTGTGGGGTCCTCTAAGCTGAGGAGCTGGCATTGGCCTGCCTGTTAGGACCTCATGAGGTGAAAGATGAATCTATATTTCTCATATTTCACATTACCCAGCTGGTAAAAATAGTTATCAAGCTTGTGCACTTCAGCATATATTTTTATTTATATATGTCACTCTAAAAACTTATTATTTTGACTTCTGGTTTTCTGTTTAAAGACTAATCAGAACAAGATCACAGACTTTGAAATTTGTATAACATTAAACATCAAAATTTAGCACTGCAGTGAATAATATTGATTTGTTTTACACCGTTTTTAAAGCTTCTCCTAGTTTTTTCTCCTTTGTTTTTCTTTTTCCTCCTCTAATTCTCTGGCGCCTGACACACCCCGTTTATCTCACACACCCACTTGTTTCTGCTCACACACACGCTTATCTCCGCCACACACACACGGTTATCTCACACGCCTGTCCCACACACAAACAAAACTTCTCTCACAAACACACACACACAGAACTTCTCCAACACACGCAGCTCACGAGCTCCAGATCTGTTCACAGCCTCTTGCTGCAAACTATGACGTCAACACATGCCTTTGCCAAAAACTCATGAAATTTACCAATCCCCGAGGATTTAACCGAATTACTGGCAAGCTTATCTGTCACAACATCAGCGCTTTTCTCAGATCCCAGTCGTTGCCCGGCTTCACCGAGACACCCAACTGGATCTCAATGTCGACCTTTTTCACTTGTCCTCCCTGGACTTTTGTCAGCTGTCAAAATCTATTCCAATTCTCGTTGTCCCAGCTTTAATTTGTCACTTAAACTTTGTCCGTCATCAAAATGACTCAGCTGACTTCACACATGTGTGAATGTTTATCACCGCTGTTCTGGACAAATGCCTCTTCTTGTTATTATAACTTCTAATTTATGAGAAGGGCATGTTTTTTTCTCTCAGACCAGTTCACAATCCACGGAATAACTCCAAAATTGAACAAAAACTGTTCTTACCTAAGGGCCCAGAAGTCAAAATTCCGTGGACTGCGAAGCGATCCGAAGAGCACGCCTCTACTCCCCCTTCGTGGTCACCAAAATGTGGTTCTTTTTCCTTATCAAACACACGAGAGAGACAAGTTTTGTCCAAACTCAGCGTGGGGCATTTATTTACACAACTCATCCATACATCACCAACACTTTCATGGGGACAGCGTCCAGCTTCGATCTAAACACCTCGGCTGGAAGTCCCTCTGCAAAAGCCCTCTCTCCTACACCACGCAGCATCAGTTATACTATTCAACCCCCACCTCCCTTTGATTCTGAGAAATGATGGGGTGCTACTTCCACCTCCTAATATGGTCAAAAGTAGTTGAGACTTACATAAGCTGGACTGAACAACATGTTGTGGAGCACGTACGCAGCAGCTGGGCTGCCTGATAAACAAGAAGTTGCACAGCACGTATGCGGCTGGAATTGATAAGCAACATGTCAACATGCACGTACACAAAACACTGCTTTTAGCTCCTACATGAGCATCCTGTCACAGTGTCTCGATTGATCATGCGCCCTGGCTACTTGGCCAGGGCGCATTATCTCTTTAGAATCAGTACCATTTCAGGTAAGTTCCAGTATTTATCTTTACGTACACAAATATTATTGTGTTGTCTGTAGTTTCAAATCCATGGATCTAGCTACGGATGCAGTCCAAATTGATGAGGACCAAGCAAACAACTTACTCAACAGTGTGTGAGTTGCAAATGTCTTCTTATCTACACTCTTTTTTTAAACTCCAAAGTCTTAAAACAATATATTAATTCTACTTTATTTATTGTTTTCATAACAGAATAGAACTGTTATGAAAACTTTGTCAGGCTGACGAAGTTTGCAGCCGCAAACAAAACGTTGCAGGTAAATAAAACCCTTCTATGTTTTAAAAAGAACTAAAAGATGGAATTGTTGTTTTATCCTTGTTCACAGGCTGGGATCCTAAAGGGAATTTCCATCCTACTTGTGTGGCTGAATGACATCTTCAACCAATTTTGGTACATTTGCCAGAAAGCACAACATCATGATATGTTTAATGTAAGTATTGTGACATCTTTTGGACAACAAGACAACAATGTACATTGACATAATTACCTTTCTTTTCATAATAGTGCCAGCTCTCGTGTTTCTGTTGGTGAGCGCTTCTATCACGTGTAAAGTTTTCAAATAAAACTTATTTTTTCTGTTAGGACATGTGGGTGGGTGTGCTTCACCATGTCACAGGGAAGCATGAATGGACCCGTGGCAAATGTGACCATGGACCACTTGATGCAACGACCAGTGATAAAGAGCTCATGTTACCATGATCTCCACCACACGAGGCTCTTCAACGAATCATGTTCAACAGACGCTGGTTGAAGGATGTCACCAATCTGATCTTTAGGTATATTAATAACATTTTCATTAGCAAAAGAGCTAAAGTGTCAATATCAAAGCTGACAATTTACATATAGAAATGACAATTGTGGGTGAAAAGGCAATCAAAAGTGTGATTCCTAATAATCTATAAAGTTGTAGCTTTTGTTTTTTTTACAGGTCAACTTCAGAACTGGAGAGTTTCCAGAACTGCATTCTCATGTAATCTATGTATGATCTAATGCTGCTGTTCTCCTCTCTCCATAAAGGCCCCAGCTATGTGAAGCATCAAAAGACAGGAATGACTTCTTTCATGCACACAGATTTATTAGAAATTAAGAAAAAAATACTATGTACAAATGTAAATAACAGAACTTTTTGTACATAAATAAAAATAAATATATTGCACAAACTGTTTGTTTATTTTTGGGTGAAAATGCTGTCTTCAGCTAAAGTTATTTTGAGGTATTGTGCTGTTTTAGAACTACTGTAGTTGTAGATAAACGGTTTGGATTTTTGGGTTAGGGTGCCCTCAGTCAGGAAGATGGTGTCCCGGCGTATCTTGCCGAAACTCCAGGATATCCAGCATCACCCCTGGAAGACGGGTCACCACTCTCTCGAGAATATAATCTCTCTCCTCCTGGCTCAGGTGTTGTAAAGCTGTCTAGAAATTAAAGAGCATATGTTTACATGACTAGATTCATATCTCCAGTGAGTGATGTTTTCGTTTTTGGCATCTCTCTATTATTTTATTTTATTTTTTTACACAAATGGCTACAACCAACCTGCATCTCAGCTATACTGGCAGCTCTCAGCTGTGCAAGCCGGTCTCGGTCCTCTTCTCTGAAAGCTGTTCGCTGCCTACCCCGGCACCCTGGTCTTCTTGAAGGAGCTCTGGACCTCAACCTGCTGCCCTCACCCCTTGAGCGTGTCCTTCCCCGACCCTCGGAGCAACCTTTTCCTCTCCCCTTTCCTTTAGCCCCTGGTCTCAGACTTTCCCACGACACATCAAAGTCTGTGGCAGGCTCGGGTACTTACTCTTCATCTGAACTGTCTTCCATCACTCCTTCCAATGTGAATTCCTGAAAATCAATGACAGTAATGATAAAAAATGACTATTGCCCTGTAGGTCTGGTTGATATTATGATTTTATTTTGATGCATTTTTTGAACTAAACATTGATATTTATGTTCTTATTTACATTGTTGTGATGGCTGTCCTGTAATGAAATTGGTTTCACAAATGATGTCAGTGACTTGAAATTGGATGTTCTTACATGATGTATAAACAATAACATTAGCTTGTTAGTAAGCTTAGTGCAAAATAATAACTGTAATTTGTCTAAAAACATCAGAAATCACCTGCAGCCACAAAGCCTCATGCTAATAAAGTAGCATCATGTTACTGTCTTGCTCGCCAGTCACAAAACTGGCTTATGAATATTTCATAGGAAGGAGCACTTGCTTTACATCACGAGTGTCATGTCTAAATTAAAATGCTAATGTCATGGAATTTTACAAATATTAGACTAAAGTAACAATGTTACTTACTTCATCGCTCGACACGGTGCCTTGTTCGAGCCGCGCTCTGGCCGTACATCACTGTAACTTCTTTTTTTTCTAGTGAAGAGTTTGTGCGCGCTCTCGTGCCGGGCTGCAGTTACTCACAGCGCCGAGTGTGTCGCTAATGAGTTTCGTTTCTTCATCCTGCCCCATGCTCCTTTAAGCAATGATGTATTAAACCTTCAGTTTTTGCTTGGTGGGATTATTTTCTTATTTACCAGAGTAAATGAGACCGGAGCATGGTCGCTAACAACTTTAGGGTGTATCTCAGTGTCTGAAATGTAAGCCAACGATGAGCTGCTGACTAGAAAATAATCCAAACATGAATGAGAGTGATGGACATGTGAGAAAAAATATACTCTCTACGGTTAGGATGAAGAGATCGCCATGCATCACAAAGCCCATAATCACTCATGTACTGTTTAACTATATTAGTGGATTGCCAATTGCGCTGAGTCCCAGCTGTACTGAGCCTGTCTGTTAAAGTGTCCATCCAAAAATTAAAATCACCCCCAAGTATAAGTGGACAGTCCAAGTGTTCAGAGAGTACAGAGAAAAAAATTATAAAAGAATGAAGGGTCATCAATATTTGGACAGTATATGCTGACGATACATAAGCTTTGGTTCAGTACAGATATTTTTAACATAAATCTACCCTCTGGATCTGAAACTGTGTCCAATACTGTGAAATTGATGTTTTTGTGTAATAAAATAGCTACACCTATTTGCTTGGAGTTATAGCATGCAGAGAACATGCTGGGAAACTCAGGTGTTTTAAGTTCATCTGCAGATGTGGCAGATCTATGAGTCTCTTGTAATAATATTATGTCTGCTTGCACTCTTTTTAACTGATCAAAAATCTTTAATCTTTTCTCTCAGGAGCCCGCTCCATGTACGTTCCATGTGACAAACTTTAGTGCACCCATAGATGTGTGTGTGAGTAGCTAGAATATGATGCCTTCACGTGAATAAGATGGAATAAGTACTTAAATGAAATAATATGTTAATAAATAACAGAAAAATAAATAAGCATAATAATAAGAAAGACCCAACAGTGTTTGTGGTTGTATTATGAGACGCATAAATTGTGATATTGTGCTGTAGATTTAATATGTGTGTGTGTTTGCCTGTGTGTGTGTGTGTGTGTGTGTGTGTGTGTGCGTGCGCGCGCGCACGTGTGTGCTGAGTCTGACGCAGTGTTGGAATGTTGCGTGGTTGTGCCATACAGATGTAAAGGTCCAGAAGCAGATAAAAAGAGGAAAGGAAAGAATTGTGCAGGTTAAAAAAGAAGAAAGAACTAAAAGGAAAAGGTGATAGGGGTGTGAGGTGGTTAAGAACAGGTGATCTCATCATCCAGAACACGGATCTAGCAGCTATTTAATCCTGACATGCTCAAACCCAGTGAATCCTGATAAAAATAATAAATGTCTGACCTGATTTTGGGCTAATACAGCCAGTCTGTCACTCCTCGCTCCTTACAAAGTTTGCTGTCCACATAAAGCTTATCCACCAAGATGACAGCCCTCTTCCCATCCCCTTCCTGGATAAACTTTTTGCGCAGCGGGAAGAGGACTCGGAGCCGATCCAGGATTTCCTTAGGAAACTGGTCATTTACGCTGCAGTATTTTCCTTTGAGCTCTCTTCCATGGCTTTTAACAAGATCCTTCTGTTTAAAATGTTCAAATTTAGCCACGATGGGACAATATTTTCTGATGTCCACTCTTAACTCCAAGGCAATGCAACCAGTGAAAGGTGATCTTTTGTACCATTTCTTCAGGTATCTTCATTTGGGTCTGGACAAGGGCGTCAGTTTGTTTTCAGAATTGCTGGGGACAATAACCATACACTTGAGTGGGGTTGAAAAATTGCTGGGGACAATAAAGTAGGCTAGCACAGGGGTCGGCGGCTCTGGAACCGCATGCGGCTCTTCCATCCATCTGATGCGGCTCTCTGTGCTTGTGAAATAATGAATGGATATTTAAATAAAAAGCTTTATATTTTACTGCATTAATTTTACATCTGTAAGCTAATTCTAAATGTAAAGATTGTCTGCGTAAACCTGAACAGTTCCAACCCGGTCTTACTGTGAGACCGGGTTGACGCGTCACGCTTGTGCGTAATCATATCGGCGCTTCTGAGCTGCTTTCTGACCTTCCCCACCTACAAAGTTTAATTACAACAATCAAACGTGACAGAGCCTGGATTTGTATTCTGAACAGTCTAAACATGTTTTAAAAAGAAACGTAGGACAAAAGTGGCACCTGCTCAGTAAAACCATCAACAGGGTGAAAAATACCAAATATTGTAGGCAGAGACGGGCTACAACTTCTGGATCCATTTTATATAAATCGTTTTATTGATTATCGTCTAATGAAAGATAATTAAGACGTACATGAGCGACCAGGCGCGTTGCAAGCTTTTCAAAAGTGTGGGGGATGTTGTCTGTGCCTAAAATAATTTCATGCTATTCATCTTGTTAGTTTAATTTCCATAATAGCAGAGCAGGTGCAAATTTTAGACGCGTCACGCACGTCTCCGTTTCAAACATGTTTAAACTGTTCAGAATACAAATCTAGGCTCTGTCTCGTTAGATTGGTGTAACTAAAGTTTGTACTAAATGAAACTTTACATTAAACCATGTTGAAAAGTAAAGGATCCGATTAAATAGTTTCCCCCTCATTTACAGTCAGTACAGTGCAGTGCGCACGGCTCTGGGGTTAATCAAGTTTAATTGTAACATTAATGTGTTACTGGACACGCTGGTCTGGTTGGTTAGACCAGTGTTTGAAGTGGAAAACACACACACACACACACACACACACACACACACACCAATTAAAATAATGCTGATAGCGTGGACTAGAAGACAGGTGATGGTTTACGTATTTAAATGATGATCAGGCTGCTGTAAAATGTAATCTCCATCCACATCCAGACACAATCATCCTCTATTCTTTCTCTATTTGCTCTGCTCTTGTCTGGGCTGATCAGCTGATGGTGCGCGCGGCACGCCTAACTAGCGGCTGATGCACATTTTACGCATTTGGAGAGGTGGACTGGATGCTTTGCCTTTACTGGAAGATGGTCCACTTAACGCACGGTTGTAGACTAAATATTAATGACAAATGAATGAAAATTAAATTGTGAGTTTTTACTTCATATTTTAGAAATAAAAATGACGGGGGAACACATTTATGACGTCTTTTTAAACTAAATTTTCTAGCGCGACCTGCCTGCTTCACTTAAGTCACTGCTTATTAAGGTCCGTCCAAAATTACCGTGGCCCATCCAAAAATGAAAACCTGGCGCCGTGCCAGTTATAAACCTCTGCAAATTGTTGTTCTTCACTTTATCAAACTCAGACTTTGTACAGCTAATGTCAAGATGTAAAATTATGAATTCAGTCGAGCTCTTCCGTCCCTCCCTCTCCTGCTCTCCTGGAAACCCGACATCGGCTGTCAGAAGAGGGAGGTGAAGAAGGAGATGAGGCAAACAGAGTGAGTGCAACGTAAAAAAACCAGACTGGTGTGGAGGTGAGCAAAACAGCTGGAAAAGTGTGGGTGTTGAATCCCCCACGGGTGCGATGCCCCCGGCTGCTGTCACCTGTTGTGAGCAGCGCTCTGCTGTCTGAGGGTAGGCCCCGCCCGCAACGCTGCGGCTGCTGCGGTGTTTTCTTTACCGTGGGAAATGGGTAATAATGGCTCTTTGATGGGAACAGGTTACCGACCCCTGGTATAAGATCTGAGCTGGTAAAACAAAAATCCTCATCAGCAGGATTTTTTGAAAGAGGGGGGGACACAGCTGCCACTCACGAATTTTGCCGGGGACATGTCCCCGGCGTCCCCGGTTAAAATGACGCCTATGGGTCTGGAGAAAGTTCTTGATTGTATGCTCGCAGTTCTCAGCCCCTCCCGTCTGCTCCGACAGGCCTGCGAACACCAAATAATCCCTCATGCTACGGGCCTGAAGGTCCAAAACCGTCTCTTTGAGAATCTTGTTGTCCTGGGTGATCCGCTTCACTCCCTCTTCCAGGGAAGAAACAGACTCCCGCAGAGACGCGTTCTCAGCAGCGAGCTGCTGCACCTGCTCCTGGCTGAACTCCAGAGATGTTCGGAGGTTCTGGAACTCCTGATGTAGAACCTCAAGCAGGTTGAGTCACCCCTCAAATCCCAGAAGCTGTTTATCTATAGAATCAAATAATTCTAATATGTCCTTATGGGGTTATGAGGCCTCAGGTGAGTCCTGAGGACGACTCCTGTTGGTTCCAGGTGTTTCCGTCTCAGCTGCTGATTTCTTCGGACCCATAACAAAGAACTCAAAAACGTTGTCAATATAGTTTTGTAAACTTTCTAAATTTTCTTCACTTACCTTCAGGTTGAGTGAGTTATACGTCCCAGATTATTTTTTGCGTTGTCGGCAAATAAACTGGGCGAAAATGCATCTTGTTTGTGGATATTTGTTAACAAGCTGCCATCAGCTTCAAATGCTGCTGTGTCTGGTGATCGGCCGTCAGCGCATGTGCATCTCCAAGCCCCCTCTGGTTCCCTTTTTATGGCATTTTATTGCATAGTTTTCTAGACACACGGCTATAAGAATGGAAGGTAAGCAGTTTGAAAGCCATTTGCAGTCCAATTAACACATGAAAACAGTATCAGAGTGCTAATGCAGATAGCTTAAGGTTGTAATGTGGGGTTTATACCTTATTTAACATTTTTAGGTTGTCCTAGTGCATCAACGGATGCTAATTCTGAAGACTGGGCAAAACACTTCTTGCCCCCCACTCAAATTTTGCGCGGTTGTGACGTCACGCTAGTCACGTGAGTGAAACCCAGCAATAGTGTATCTCCTGCCACTCTAAAGCACTGTGCTGAAGAGCTGGCCCCAGTGTTTACGAGCATTTTCAACTCCTCATTAGAGACATCTCATGTCACTTCCAGGGCAAAAGCTGATTATGATGGGGCTTCAGTCCCGAATGTTTTCAGTCGAGCCCCAAATTTTTTTTTTTACTTTTCCCCCCTCATCAGCCACAGGCTTGCTCGCTACTCTCTCTCTCCTTCACTGCGATCGCTTGCTACCATGACTCACACGTCTATTTTCTATGAGAAACTAATGCAGGAGATGGGCGTAGGAGACTATTTTCATGTTCAGTCTGCAGGAAAAACTCAGAATGACCCATTAGAATCAGAAATAAGAATTAAAAAAAGTTTTTATTTTGTGTGTGTGTGTGTGTGTGTGTGTGTGTGTGTGTGTGTGTGTGTGTGTGTGTGTGTTCCACACATTTAAGAACGAACTCCTAAATGAGTCTAGAACTTGGGCTTGATCAGTTGGAGTGGAAATGGTGTAATGTGGGTACGAGCAAATATTCTACAGCCAAAACTATCAGCAGGCCCTCTGCAATGCTGCAATGATAAACAACAAAAATACAATTTTTTAATATTCTTTTACTTGTGTTAGATTGCACAGAGGCAGTGATAAAGACTGACGGATGGATGGAAAACAAAGGACTGAAACGAATAATAGGAATCTGTACATAGAAAAGAACAGACATAACTCTATTTGTCTTAACTGTAAAAGTAGACTTATGTGTGGCTTATACAAGTCTCATGGAACCTATAAATACAGCATAATGGTTTCTTGAGAGATGACAGACCATATCCTCACTCGTTGCCTCTCCCCTTTCTAAATAATTTTTTTCCAACCCAATCTCAACCATGCTCACTTTCCCTGTCTCCTTTCCTGCTATCCAGCTCAGTTTCTATGGGAGCAGGCAGCCAGATATGCATTGAAGTCAGCTGGAAGAAAGGTAGTAAAGCTAGGTGTGGAGGAGGAACATGATGGACCCTGAGGTTGGCGTGAAAGGTGAGGGACAGACAAAAGGATGAGCCTCGCTGCTAATGACTCCCACAGGGGAGAGCAGCTGTTCAGTTTTATGAAGGCTTGCACATGCACTGGCTCTCATCAGAATTAACTCAGCGGACTGAAGCATGGACGTAAGAACACAAACTTTACATGACTTGGACATCCGGAATTATCAAGACAGCACACACATGGAAATAGTAGTGTTTGTGACTTTGTTGCCTTTCTCCTAACCTTCCTTCCATTGACTAAAGGCTCCTAATTAAACCTACATTTCTAAATAAAAAAAAAAATTTAAAAAACTTGAGTTGTATGTGTCCTTGAACTGCTGCCAATCGACAATGCAGAATTGAATATACAGGAGGGATATTCCACAGATAAGAGAGGCACAATGATGCCAAAAGGCCTCAGTGGAAGAGGCATGCAAGCCCTCTCGTATAAGATCCATTTGGATTTTTTTTATTTCACATTGAGGTTTTTGAGATGTTTTTAATAAATTCTTTGATGCAGTCCTCAGCATACAACTTATCTTTCAGATGACATTTGCCTTCAGATTTCTATGACTAAAACAATTCCTGCTGCTTTAGAAGACATGAAAGCAACAGCGCCAGGAATCTGTCTGGTGAATAATTCCATAATAATGAGAGAGGCTTTAAAATGTAGATTCATGGTGACAAGCATTATAGCTCAGCAAATGACCTTTTTACTGCGAGGGTCGAGAAGTTTCCCTCTGGACTTCTGTATCTGTATTACTTGTGGTCTAAAAAAGCTAGCCATTGATTTTCTTACATTTAGAAATCAAATTCCATTAGGCAGGGGCGGATTTAGCAATTTAGGGGCCCAAGGCGAACACAGACATGGGGCCCCTTACACTAAATTTTCATCAATCTTACCTTTAACTAGATTTGCGAAGCTCTCCCCTCTTCTGACATGAATTATTTTCACTTTTTATTAGTCCTCCTCTTTTTTCATGTATTTCTCTCCCTTTGAGTGCCTTCAATATTTGCTCTGCTTTCTTCTTCCAGTCAGTGCTCCTGTGCTTTAGCCTTAGTTTTTTTTATTTATTTTCCATTTTGGTCTATGTTTTCCTCCCTTGAAACATTTTCCATTGTCTTTCCTTTCTGCTTCCTTTTGATGTTTACAGCGAAAATCGACGGCACTTTCAGAAGTGAAGATAAAAGCTTTTATGAAGCAAGCTGCTTCTTTCTCTTATTGGAGCCACTAGGATAACTCCATTTCATGCTTCATGTTTTGACTATCGCTTTGGGTTTGTTACGAACGCCCCTGCCTCTCTTCCTCTTATTTGTGGTTTTATGGCACTTGGCAAACAACAATTCGGTGCATTACAGCTACCAACTGGATTGGAGTGGAATGACTACCAATCACTTCCAGTTTGTGCATCGCCGTCTTCAGTGTTGGGAGTAACGCCGTTTAAGTATAACGGCGCTTCTAACGGCGTTCTTTTATAGGTAACGGAATAATCTAATTAATAACTTTTCCCGCCGTTGCAACGCCGTTACCGTTACTGGGGACGGAACGTTGTGCGTTACTATGTGCTTGTCGAACGTTGAGCAGCAGCGTGAGGCTTTCTGACTGCAACACTTCAGCTGCAGCCAGGGAGAGAGAGGTGTCGGTAACACACTTACAAACACGATGATGACTGGCTGGGTGGGCGGAGACCCTCACGGTCTCAGTCACTGCCTGCTATAGACCCAACGGCAATAACTCCGTTTAAAATAACCGCGTTAATAAAAAATATTTCTTTCTGTAACGAGCAAACTAATTAATTTCATCTTCTTGTATCAAAACGTCGTTCCTGTTACTGATAAGAAAGTGCGTGCAGCAGCGAATCTGCGGGTCTGCAGCCGTGCCCTTAGCATGACAGCGGGACGTCCCGAAGGTCCGCTCACCTGTTCACCGCGCAGACGTCCTGCAACGATCTTCTGCCTTCCTAGATCATCCAGCTGTAACCTGTTCCTGATCATGTCTTTAGTCCCGCTGTAAGACTGATGCATCAGTTTCAGACGGCATGGAGCTCAGGTGTTATTCGAACTACCTGTGTGTGTTTACCACCCAGCTTCAGCTCTTCTGTGGTTGGGTCTGACCCATGTTAGTACATTTAAGTCCTCCATCAGATTTGTGCCTCTTCTAGTGTCATTTTAAAGGATTTTATTTATTTATTTATTTATTTAACCGTTACTAGATTACCAGCAACAGAGATGCTGCAAAAAACCTAAAAACACACAATTATGTGAAGCTGGAAAAATTAGAATGCTGTGTAAAATTACATTTATTTCTGTAATTTAACTAGACTGAGAGACCATTTAAAGGCTCGGGAACCTTTACAGGTGTTTCTATTTGCAATTTTAGTTTTTAGCTGATTGGGTTTTTGTTAAATATCACACAGTGACCTTTTAATAGTCTAGATTAGTGTAATGCTCCTGTTAGTTGTTCCTCCTGTTAAGTGCTTATTTATTTAAATTATTCAGGTTTATATAAAACATTTGGACATACATTTTATTATGTTCAGTCATTAGTCATTTATATTTTACTATTGTAGTAATTCTTGCATTCTTTAATGAAAAAAGTAACTAAGTAGTTACTTTTGTTGGTAATTAGTTACTTTTATGATCTTGTAACTCAGTTAGTAACTGAGTTACTTTTTTGACAAAGTAATCAGTAACTATAACTAATTACTTTTTTTAAGTAACGTTCCCAACACTGGCCGTCTTAATAACCCTCTTACGACCATAATTATAACAGGGCCGCCTGGTATTTTTTTAATCTTATGGCTGTAAAATAGTAATAAAAAGTGCAAAGTGTGTGTAACTCTTCTCCTTTTTTCAGAACAACCTCAGCTTTCAGTGTATGGTTTGTATTTAGAATTTATTTCTATTAAAGCCTTTAAAAAATTTGCTTAAAAGTGAAAAAAGCAAAAAAGGATTTGAATTTTTTACATTTATTACTGAACAAGAACTTCAAACTTACTGCGCAAACAATTTAAACTTTGAACTGAAATGCATCTTTTCTTAAAAAAGTTTGAACCTTTGTATCATTTTTTGCTGTTTTTAAGACCATTTATCTTTGTAAACTTTCAGACTTTTTATTTGATGTGGTAGGCCTTGAAGCAGTTTCTCTCCAGCTGCAGGCAGAGTCCTGCACACCTCACTCTGCCATGGGGTGCTTCTCTGGCACACCGTGCACTGCTATGCCAAAAACTTTTGTTTAAGCAAAAATAATTGTTTATGGTAAAAAGATAAATAATGCTGAAATGAAGCTGAATCTTACAATTAGCAAATAGTTGAGGGTTGTTCAAATAAAAAAATAAAATATAAAGACGGAACAATCATTCATACCCTGGTTCTCCGGAGATCTGTCCTTCTTTGTGGTCACTGTCTTCAGATATAAGCCTTCTTAAACATCTAATAGATCGTGTTGATTTTCTTTGAGGCATTTCCATAATTTCATGCTGGTTTTTATGCTGATTTGCTTCCCCGTTCCGATATCCGCTTCCACCGCGATGCTGCGCTCCGTTTCAATCAGGCTGTAGAGCTGGATTTCCCCTCCTAGCGATATTTTCCCTTACTCTGATTGCTTCATGCTATTGATCTTTGGAAAGCTGCTTTTACGTACTTTTAGGAACCGTTGTAATTATTTGAATCTGATCAGCCATTCAAAAGTTATAAAACGGAGCATTTTGGATGACAAACTCAACACGTCTCTGAATCTGTGTTGTGATTTGTTGCGCTCAAGACAGGGAATCCCGGTGGCTACCGTAATGTATTGTATATGCACGAAAAGCCCCGTTTGAATCTTTTCAGCACTTTTGGAATTTTAATGATATCTTGAAAGGTTCAGGAATTATGGTAATGAGAAGTGCACATGTCCAATCCCGTCTGCGGCGACAGGTTGGTAATAAGAATATTGTGGCATTAACAGAGGGGTGCCGGCGGTCAGGGCTAGGGGGCCCCAGGCGGCCGCCAACCTATGCCTACTGGTAAAACCGCCTCTGCCATTAGGTCCACACAAAACCACTCTCCCATAACACAAGTGAAAATTATGCATCAGCATGAGGCTTTATTCCATAACAAACACTCTCTGTATGTGTGTGTTTGTTCATCACTACCTGCGGTCCAATGTTTTCAATCCTGTTTTTGGTGTTGCACTTAGTAGCTGTTTGTTGTTTGTGGCTTGCTTAAATGATCTGATTTCTCTGTACTGGGACATTTCTGAGTTATTGTAGCACATAAGCATGCTAAAACACACATTTTCTGTTGTTTCACCTAGCTTTTAGCACAGTTTATTTGGTGTTGAAAGAGTTGCTGGCCAAGTTAGCTTAGCTTCAGTGCAGCCATGGGTACTTGTGTCTCTGCTTGTTCTCTTTCTCAGATCTTTAGTTACTCCTCTGCCTCCTTTAGTGATAACGGTACATGTAATAAATGTAGCATTTTTGTAGCTTTGGAAGTGAGGGTTTTGGGATTGGAAGCTTGGCTCTGGACTGTTAAAAAGCCTGTAGGTAGCTTTAGCTACTTAGATAGCTTGGGGCTAACTAGCTCAGAACCACCCCTTAGTTGTCCTCCAGTAGAACATGAGAAGCCGGGACCTCAGGCCGGCTGGAGGACGGTATGTAGGACTTTTTTTTTTTTTTTACCAGCAGTTGCTTAATCAATATTTGGAGTTAACCGCACCAGGGCTGCCAACTCTCACGCAATGAGCGTGACACACACGCATTTGACCCTCTTAACACGCTCTCACGCCTCACCTCCAATGTCTCATGCCGAACCAGGGACATAACACCGGCGCTCCCTAAACGTGCATTACGCACAGTGCGTAGGGCACCGGGTGGCCAGAGGGGCACCAAGCAATCAGGTTTATGAAAAATAAAACAGATTATATTAATTATAGTATTAGCTGGACAACATGCATACAAACAACACTGAGGTAATCAGCGTTATTTCACACACAGAATCCCTTCTGTGGCTACTGGCTTCAGGTGCCGTGAAGTCCACCTGACTTCTGACAGTTCGGATCTGCTGGGGATCTCTGCCAGGGTTTGTATACACAACAGATTGCGTCTGATGCGTTTTTTTTAAATAATCAACTCTGTATTTTATAGCAGACAACAAATACTTTTACACCCAGATTTCACAATTTCTTTCAGATACA